GTGGAAGGATGATGATAATATAGTGTATTGTAGGGAAGGCTGTGTGTGTGAAAGAGTCATGATAGAGCCCTTCTAATTCTATAGATGGTCTGCAGCTCCATGGGATATAGACAGTGATAGAGCCCTGAATTCTAGCATTTCTTTGACACTCCTTAGAAAGTGAATTTTTTTGTAGTGGATGGAAATTGGGTGGACAGTTGCTCTCTTTTTATCTCCAATTAATTGTTTTCTTGAGTTGAAAGTAATTTATTCTTAAATTCCTTAAAAAAAGAAAAGAACTCACTGGTTCTTATATGGATCACAAAGGGAATGCTCAAGAACTTGTAATTCTTTGATCGTTCTCAATGCTAGTTATGTTTCTAGAAGAAAGTATCCTTTTCCAGGCTTCCGGCTGAATGATATTAAAATGAGTATCAGAAAAACAGAATCATCTAGATTACATCATTGGTTTAAACTTGGATGTGTAAAACTTGACTTTGAGTAAGCTCCATATGCCATATATGTAGTTTAGACTCAGAATTGGTTACAAGTAAAGCTATGCCCAATAATAGAAACTGCAACATTTTTTGCACTTCATTATTGGCATAAATTCTCATTATGCTTCTGTTCCAGAATGATAATGTCAGAATTACATTGTTCCATCCTTTGAGCAGGGCAAAGCATATAAAGGCATTGGCACATGTCAGTCTTAAAGAAGATGAAGACACCAAGAGTCCTGGAGCCCTCCCTGTGATCAAAAGCGAGTCTTGTGAGAGAATATTAGAGAAGGTTTTATTCTCGTTGCATAACTTAACCTGTAGCTTCATCTGTTTCTATATCTAAGCAAAATTTCCTCTTTAATATAGTTGAGACAGAAAATAAAAGCTGAAGATGTGGAACTTCTGGAGCAGCTATTTGTTTTAGAGGGAATTTTCTTTGATCCCAGCTCTGTGGAAGAAGTGGAAGCAGCTTACGAGGATGTGACATCCAGAACAATTTTATCACTGCAGAAAGCCGTGGAAGAGCTAATTGCAACTGTTGAGAAGGTAACGTCTACTAATTTTCGAATCCTTTTATTTGCCTGATTGCCTCGATAAAAAGAAATTGTTTTTTGAAAAAATTGAAATGGCCTTATAGCTTGTAGCATGTTAGAAAAAGGAAGAACAGAAAAAGATTGATGTGTGCCAACTCTATCTTTTTATCTGATTTTCATCTTTTGATTGAAGCCGACCTATTCCATTATGTTCCAAGAGGGACTTCCAATTCAACTTTTCATTTGATTGGAAGCTCAAATGCTAGATGGTCAAAGTATTTTAAATACGAGGGTCTTCATGCATTAGAGGTTTAACGTTTTTTTGGCCGTGGGAGGGGGTTTCTTTTAATTAGAATAATTTTTTTTATTTTTTTTTTCGTGGATCCATGTAGATTGGCAATGTTATTTGTGTGTTAACCTTTGTAAGGCACAATTCTAGTGAAATTATTTTTCTTCAAGCTTCAAGCTGCTCTTAAGTTCGCCTGGCCTGTTGGCTTGAGAATAGAGTTTAACTCGTCGAATTTTCTCACAGCTCAAGGAGGAGAACAAGGCTCTTAAAACCCAGATCAAAAGCTGCTGAAACATCCCTCCATCCAAGTGCATATGCAGATATCAAGTGATAAATCATCCATGCATTTAAAGAAACTCAATTCCTTGACCGGTCTGAATGCTGTGTTCTTACTTCCTCATGCTTGATGCAAGAAGTTCATACATATTCTTTCATAATTTTTAAACAATGTAATTGAGTTGGAGGAATCTCAACCTTAGTCGATAAAATTAGAGAGCCGGCGTATGTTCTAGCTCTAATACACAAAGTTAGGTCACCGGATAATTTGTAGTGCTGTATTACGTGCAAAAATTTGTAAAGGTGCGTTTCCACAATGAATTTTATATCCAATTTCGTTGTGGCGCTGAATACAGCTTTAGAACATCTCGGACTAAATCAATGAAAATTCAGTCAGCAAGAAGTGGCTAAGGTGTCAGTATTGAAGACGGAAAAAAAGTACACTAGAAACATGACAAAAAAATTTCGGAACATGTTTGTTGCAGAATATTAGATAAAATTAGGCAGTATAATAAACAAGATTTGAACTTTTTTTTAGTTTGTATCACATTTAAATCCCTCTAATTGAGGACTAAGCTTAATACAGAAGGAAATTTTTCAAAAATCTGAAAAAGGCAGATTATCTTTGATTAATATTCCAGCACATTCAAGCTCCCTGCATTCTTTACCCATCATTATTAGTTATACAAATGCTTTATATCTTACCTAATTCTAAAACAGGACAAACTTGGATTATTGTTCAACTATTTTAGTGAAGTTCATCAGCAGAAGCAGGAAATTAACTCAAGTTCTAAGTAATGGCATCGGGAATAGCACCTCCACCGCTCTAAGTAACCTTCACGACTTGACCCTAGTATCTTGCAATTGCATCATTTTCCAGCATGATGGGAAGCTGCCAAATGTAGATTCTCTTGCTTTCCGCTCCGCCGCTATTCATGCCGTTGCTTTGTGCCATTTTTCCCTCTTCATCTCTCTTACCGGTGAATTTCATAAATTAGGTCCCAAAAGTATAATATGCATGCAAATTCTATAAGAAGTGTATTATGGAGTCAACTTGTTAATTTAAAATTTAATAATAAAATAACAAATAAAATGTATTATACAAAAGATTTATAGTATAATCAAATGACAAAGTCGACAATGTTTCAAACGATTAGTTAAATACTATTCGTCTTGCAATTTTAGAAGCAAAAACATTAATCAAATTTGAATAGTCTATCCCCGTTCAACCATTTCTTTTTCAATTGATAACATAGTCAATCCATTCAAATTTTTTTTTTTTTATTGTGATATAGTTGATCGGAGATAAGATGTGGTTAACAAAATTTTGTAAGTAATATAAGCATTTGGGATGCCTTCAAGTATTGTAATACTTCAATTACTCCCGTTGCTTCACTTAATATATAGCACCTCAAGACATGTAACTCAAAACATAAATCGTCTCTATTAATATTCGAACGTCCATAATGTTTCATATACTTCTCAAGATTCATACAAGGCTTCCATAAATTTAAAAAAAAATTGTACGCCTTAACCTCTTCAAATTTAATAAAAATCCAAATATCTCTTCATATTGTTTAAATTGTTCAAATCGAATTTTAAAGAAGATAGAGCTTGATTAATTATAAAAATGAAGTATTCAACTCTAAAATATTTTTCAACTGATTGATTTACCTTATCACTACTTTTGTCCAATTGTTTTTTTCTTCAAGCATGATATGGAGACACGGAAAAGAAAACATCAGGAACGAGCTTTGTTAAATTGACCAGCAAGTCAGCAATCTTTGGAGGGCAAACAATTTGTACCGATTTAGCCAAAAATATCGAAAGGCATTTTCCATATCTATATTCCTATAATGAAAAGGACAAGTTTTACTTTTACACAGTGATTATCAAGCAGTAGATGCTTTATGGTACCAGTGTTGGTCCATTAAAAGACGAAACATGTATAAGTCAATTTTCAAATAAAGGGATTCGACGTGACTATCAATTCCTTAACTTAATATGAGACCACTCAAACGAGGGTATGGAAGAGGAAATAAAAATATTAAAATGAATTTGTAGAATGGATAACACAGTACATTGATATGGAGGAAATAGAATAGAAGATGGGTGATCAACAAATTAACATGGTCTTTATCGTGAAAGATTTGATTGTTTGCTGGTTCGATTAGTCGGGGGCCTCTCAATTTTTACAAAAGAGGACTTTGACGACAAGTCTCAATTATTTAAATCGGACAAATCTCGAATGATGTCAAATAGAATTTTATTTAAATTGACGCCACAGTTAGTCAGAACGTAATAGGGCTATTAAATTCATTTTCTTAGTCATCTTTGACTAGCTATTTGTAATCCACTGTTTAACTGTTTTTCATTTTAATATATGCATTTGCTTTGCATAGGCAGTCATGGATTCTTCAGAATAATATCAAGAGCCTATATCTAACAAAATTCATTGAAATTTGAGTCGAGAACCTTTAAATAAGGGAAAATTGCAACGGATGTCCCAAACATTTCCATTTGCTGCATACTATACCTTAACATTTTATTTACATTTTACTTTGATTGCAGTCGAAATCCATTGGACAAAATTCGTCCATTAATCTATTAGTCAACCCTAAAATTAGAAGTTTGACTAAAATTAATAAAATAAGTGAAGGGAAAAATGATATATTTACATTTTCTATATAAAACTTTAAAATAATTGAATCAAAATATATAAATAAAAAATGACTCTTCATCTTTTCCACAACCCATCACATCCCCACTCCTACCTCATCGACCACGACCACCAAACCACCGTGCATCACACCACCCACGGCAAATTGTCACCATCTTTGACCTAAATCTCAAACTACAACTCAAAATTCCCACTCAAATCCAAAGAAAAAAAAAAGAAAGAAAATTTGCAAACATTTTTCTCCCAACAACACCCTGCCATCATGTGCCTACCTATTCATCTTCATTTTTCTCTAAGGGTGCATTTGATTGACATTTTTTTCATGGAAAATATTTTCCTGCTTTTGGTCACATGATCATATTTTTTTCAAAATCAAGGAAAATATTTTCTTTAGGGGAGTAGGATTTTATTTTCCAGGGAATTCACTCTCCCTTTCTCTCTCTTATCTATACATTCTCTCTCATTTGCAAAATATGGTGGGAACCCAAAATTTTGTTATTGCTTTGACGCAAATGAGATCATTTTGCTATTGATGATTTTAGTGTGAGGGAAAAATATTGAATTCTGCACTGCTAGAGGTTGAGAATTATCGATGACAAATGGAAAAGAAACGAGCCTCGAAGATGGAGGCGAAAATCTTACTAGAGTGTTAACAGAACTATTAAAATCAAAAAAAGGAGACTTTGAATAAATTATCAATTTTGGCAAGAAGAAAAAGAAATTCAATTAATTAAAAAAAAAAAAATAACAGAAACCCAATTCAAAATCTTGATAAGACTTCGAAACCCAGATTTTAGTTTCATGAGAAACATAACAAAAATCCCAAATTCAAGAATCTACCAAGAACAGAAAAGAAGAAGAATGATGAGTTCGCAGTGACGGTGGACGGAGCGAGGCCGGTGAATTTTCTATTTTTAGTTTCGAGGATGGGTGTGTGTGGTTGTGGAGAAGATAAACAGTCTTTTTTTTTTTTTTCTTGTTTTTGATCTAAGTATTTTAAATTTTTATATAGAAAACGTAAATATACCATTTTATTCCTCACTTATTTTGTTAATTTTAATCAAACTTCTAATTTCAGAGTTAACTAACAGAATAATGTATTCTGATTGCAGTCAAAATGAAAGGTCTGAGACTACAACTACAAATATAAAATGTTAAGATATAGTCTGCATCAAATAGAAATGTTTAAAACGTCCACAACATATAAAACACGTTTAGAAAACTAATGGTTGAAAAGAGTACCTTTCATAATTCAAAGTGCCTAATATTTGTTGAAGACCATCAAGTATCTGAATACAAGTCTTGCCACAATACAAATAAACTTTTTCCTCTTGATACTAGTTATAAGTGTCAAAACAAGACCATATTCAAACTCGTCCAAAGCGATATGAGGCTGATCGGAAATCTCCGTGCAATATAGTGGACACCTTCGAGCTCCTTGATCTTATATGAAAACTGGGATGTTACATGTGGGAGAAGGAGGTGTGGATTGGGGTTTTGTGTGCTTTTTTTTTCTTGTCTATTTTTCATTTTTATTGTCAATTTTAATTTATTTTGTATTTTTTAAAATAAAAATAAGGGTGCAATCTCTTTTAAAGAAATAATGACTTTTAACCATCAAAATCACATAATAATATTTTATTGTCCTTCGAAATATATGATTAAAAAGTGATCTAAATATTTGTAAATGGTCTATAAACATGACAATATTCCCAAATAATATTAAATGTGGCATTTAAAGAATATCATTACATACAATTACACAGAACAATTTGCTTGTTCATTTCTATTATTATCTTTGTTTAATGATGATTTAAAGTTGTGATTAGCATAGAAAAAGGCGTGATGTGCGTAGAATAATGTAAGTCAACCCTAAGTAAGCTTTTGTCTAACAAATGTTCAACATCTACCGTGTCGTTAATAGTTTAACCAGTTAGCTATCTTGAAATTCATATAGTACTACTGTCTTGTGATCCAATTTTGAATATGTTCATACACGCATTCGAATCAATGTTCTAAGAAGTGCACATATGCGCGAAGCTTGCCTTGCCGCCTAGCAATGCTTTATTCTTTTTTACACTAGGACTTTGTCTAAGTTCAGTTAGGTTCGTAAAAACTTGAAACTTTTCTTGCTATCTAGTTACATTTTACATTTTTTTCACACGTCGGTCAAAATTAAAGTTTGATCAAACATGAATATTAGCTTTTTAACCGGTACTATTGGCTGATTATTTTTTCAAATTTGATAATAATCTCTTAAACTTTCCTTTCAAGTTATTTTTCACTTAGGTCCCAACTATGCACCTGCCTTAATGACTATGCACATGGAGGGGTATTGCAACTCTTTGGTACCCCGAGTCGGACGCCATTAAGTTATTTTAAATGTATATATAGCCTGCAATATATTTTCCTCGAATCCTTTTTCTAATAAATAAATGTTTTCCCTCTTAATTTATTATTGGTTTTTTGGCCTCCTTTATTCACATAAAAAATACTTTATCAAGATGTTTACTCTAACAACGTTTTTTTTTTTTTTTTGCAAAAATTAGGTTTTGTGGTGATACCCAAATGAGTATATCGTTGAACTAACATTTTTAAAATTTTACCTTTTTTTTAATCTTTTAATGATGCCAATATCCGAATTCACGATATTACATTGAACCGATGATTTAAAAACTTTAGACGTTATAAGATGTTGAACTATGTATCCAAACAACCTCATAGTGTTTGGTCATATTCGTTTATTTGTTAAATACTTGATTTGGCGTAAATTTTTCATAAACAAGTTGTGGTGTGACTTGAACTCGGCATCTGTGCCAGCTCCGATGCTAATATTGAATGAATGAATAATTTATCTATTTAAATTATGTCTACAAACCCTAAAACCATATTTATATTTTACATATTCGATGCTTGAAAGAGGCAAATATTGGTATGAAACCATTGGTTTCATTATATACTTACAATACCAAAGAAAGATTTTTCTTTACAATACACATTGAGTTTTGCAGCATAAATAGCTGTTGGCACGAAAGGGCGTGGGGCGGGTGTTAAAAGGTAAATCCCACGTCTAATAAAAAAAGAAATAAAATATATACTACTCTTATTAAGGTTGACCTTTTGTGATAAAACTCCAAGTCGGATGGAAAAGAGTGTGGGGAGGAGGGTTTAGTCAGCCAAGATAGTTGACGAACACGGACATAGGCATCAAACACAGTCCCTTTTTCTCGAGGTCTGTTCCTTCAATATCTCTTCCATCAGCAATATTCATATTGTTTCTATGTAAATCTGATAAATTATCTAAGCCATCTTGTTTACCCTATAGAATCGAAGCATCCAAAAGAAATATATTAGGTGAGATAACAAAGATAGAATCCGAAACACAACGATTAATGGTTTTTCAATAAGTAAATTGCACAACACGAAAATAAGCTAAAATCCAATAAATATTCTTACCACCACTAAATTGGATATACTATCATCTGATCTCTTGTAGTTAGCATCCACTTGTTTCCAACTGCTAACCTGTATAAACAGCCAATTTCGTTAGAAATTCTTCTTCTATAGAAAGAAATGATTAATCAAAATAATGAGCTACCATTGATGTCGATCAAGAAATCTAAAGGGCTAACGAAATTTTTTATTTGAACTCATCTGATCACCTTAGGGCTATTGACAGGAGAACTAGCTGTATCCTCCAAATCATCAGAAGACATTTTCTTACTCATCCTATGATTCTTGAAATTCAATCTCTTAGGAAATTGCGAGCCATACAATGAAGAACACGGCCTGACTTGATTGTTTTTCTGCCCGTTCCATGCAGCATCAGACACCAAAGAAGGGCTCCCAAAGCTATCCATGGAACATGATGATGGACTATGTTTTGTTTGGTTTAATGAAAAATCCTCCAAATAAGCAGTCCAACCACTCTCTTCAGATGCATCAGCTCTTTCATTTGAAAAAACTTGTTTGTTTATTGATGAACTCACAGGGCATTCCATGTTGGTGGCTGTTGGACGGCGGTTGGTGGCGGTTGGAGGTGGTTGAGGATTGAAAAGGTTTGATGGTTTTTATAAGGTGGTTCTTGTACTCGGCCAAACGTTGTTATAATGTCAAATTATAGAAAAAGGAAACCCACAATGTCAAGTTTTGTGGGCCGGCAGGAGTAGTTAGGCAGTTAAATTGTATTAATTAGTATCATTAAGCTCCTGTTTGGCAGAGATTAAAATCAAAATTTTAGTATATTTTAATAAAAATTGATGAAATACGTGGTTGAAAAGTTGTGGGATCCATCAAATATGTAATTAAAATTAATTGTTAAGTTAGACTTCAATTAAAATCTGGATTTTAATCGATACCAAATATAATAAAAAAAATAATTTATTTTGATCTATTACAAGCCATGATTACACTAAATGGACCTAAAATGAATTTTTTTTTAAAGAATATAGAACTAATATGACAATATAAATTCTTTTCATAGAAATCAAACACCCACATTTTATTTTCTAGAATGACAGTTGAGAAATTTGAAAGAGCTTGTCAAAAGAATATGTTCTTTATGGACATGTTTTTTTCATCTACCTGCTACAATTTTGAAGTTGTTATGGTCGGCAGATTCTCTAGTCTCATTTAGCTATAATTGAAGATTCCTATTTACCGTCCACATTGCGAAGTTTGGAGCCTATTTTTTACATCACTCGTTGAAAATTGAAATTTCATCCCAATTGATACCCTTATCATGATTGGTTAAAAAATTAATTTCTTTTTCTGTTTGAAAGGTTACAAAGTTGATTTTTCCTCTCTGGTTGTTGCTTCCCTTCTTCGCCTTTCGTGCACGCACAACAGTTATGGGCGATGTTGCACCCTCACCGTTGCCCTACTGCTATTGCAACAGTGGGGCATCGCTTCTCAATAGCTACATAGCAGAGCTATAGAAATCTGTGCTGTGTCGTAACAAGGTACCATGTGCGGCGTGGGATGATGGTTGTTGGTGCGGTGGTTATGGTTCGTGCGATCTGTGTTTGTGATGCGATCTGGTGGTGGTGATGGTAGTGGTGCAATTGTGGTGGTGGTGGTGGTTTGTGGATCTAAGGGTGGCGACGGTAGGGGAGTGTGAGTGGAGGAGATGATAGCTAATTTGTTAGATTTTTTTGTATCCAATTATTTGATAATATGTTATCAATAAATAAGTTGTGTCCAATTAGTTTGATACTTTATTACCGATAAATAAGTTATAATCGATTAATTTTATAATTTGTGATCGATAAATAATAGGTGATCAATTAATTTAATAATTTATGATCAATAAATAAGTTGTGATTTATAAAATTTGTGATTTTTGATCAAGAAATAAGTAGTGATCGAAAAATAAGTTGTGAGCAATAAAATTTGTGATTTATGACTGTAACTTTGTGTGATTGTGACTAATGCATAATCATAAAATGTATGTTATTGTGATATTAATCACACCTGATTTTTGAAAGGATTCCACAAGTTTGTTAATTATGAAAATGTAATTTGTAACTTTTATTGTTGTGTAATTAACCCAATTAAAACAAAAAGTAATTTTTGGGCCCGATCTTCCTTTGGGAAAATTTCATAACTAAGAGGTTTAATTTTATCAATTTCAAATTTAAGAAACTAAGGCCCTGTTTGATACGTCAAAATTTTCAGGGAATTAGGAAAATATTTTCCACTTTTCACTTTTTTGGCTGTTTGATAGGCAAAATTTTCCACGGAAAATTCTTTCCAGATTTTCCCCACACGCGTGCTATTTCCGGATTTTTGATGAAAATGTTTTC